GATGTTTTACAATTTGTCAGTGGCTAAAATACCGGAAAAGTATTGCTTGATAATTTGAACTATACACGCAAACATAGACAGTTGAATATTCGCATCATTATTATTATCAACATCCCAGTAGCCAGTAAATATCATAATGGTGCAAAAATAGCAACCATGGCCATGAAAAGACTACTGTGACGAAGGTTCTAATAAAAATCATTTACCTCGGATGGAGAGATTTCTAATAATGCACCCAAATTGACCAGACTGATATTGTTGTAGATCAAGCTAGCTGCGACCATATTGTGCTCCACTACAGCTCGCTCGAGCAGACCTTCAACAGACTGTGCCTGACCGGAGGCTTTTCCGTGCGTATTGCTCCCATTTGGTTTCAATAGATGCGGATAGAATTTTTCGAATAACGGTTCCAAACTGCGCAGCGAGGATCGATTAATCAGGCGTCCCATGTACCTGGTGAAGCAGGAAGTTCAGATACGAACAGTGAGAACAATATGCAATGAAGTGTGACAAAAAAAGCATTTTGAGGAAGAAAAGAAATCACGCTGGACAATATGAATCGTACAGAACAGCGAAAGTCAGGGTTTAGAAATTAATGTAGTCTGTTTGTGAAAATAAGTATTTCGCCGAAATTCGGCGAGGCAGCATTGCCATTGGTGGATGTTCTCTTATGCACCTTCAAGTTAACATAGGTACTGGATATAATGATAGTAGCTCATAATGGGGTGTTGGTGTTCCATGTGTTCTCCGAGCATTAAGTGCTGTTCGCAGACGTTTCGTAACCAGATTAGACACTATCATCGTCCGGTTCTGGCTTCTTCTTCTTCTTCGAGTTGTCACCAACACTACCGAAAAAGATGACAAATATATTTTATACTTTAACTTTATCTTATTGAATGCACGACACCACAAACACTATCCAGGAAATAGGAGGCCGAGAATTAAAGCATTATCATGAAATATGACGAAACTCGCGACGCACAGCGGCTTTGGGAATGATTAGATTGAAGGGTGTCGGACAAGCAGTTCTTGAGGACAGTGAGAACTGCGAGGGGGACTGAGTGACCAGAGTAATCCTTTTATACAATCATAATTGCACGTAACCACGGTTATTAGGTACTGAAAAAATAGCAATTTGAAGTAAACTAAAGAGAAATGCGGATCACCAAGCAGGAATATAGCCGTAGCCAACTCCGTTAAAGGTTCACCTTTAGCCAGAAGCTGTATAAAAAAGAGGCGACGAAGCTCCTGACATGCATCCAGTTATACCATACTAAAGAGAGATCCTCTCCTAAAATCGTGCGTTTTAGATTACAAAAGAGGGTTATCCAACCTGTGTATGAAAACATCCCTCGGCAGCGCGATACAATTGGAATAAGTGATTACACTACTAACAAGTAGCACCAAACGACAGCAAAAAATATCAACTGCTCCCACTGCAAACTGGTGCGATAAGAAACCATTTGCGTGGGCACACACCCTGTAACTGACATCTGAACGAATGCATGGGTGACTCGTGCTCACATTTTCTCAAGGACAGGATATGCGTCAAACGCTTGGCAACGTTCGTCCTTGTATAGTGTAGCCAACAGTCGAGTTCGCTGATGTCCGGCACCCGCAAGAAAGACCGCAGCCAAAGCCCGCTCAAGAAACGCTACACGTTCGCTTTCATCCATCCACTGGAATCGAATCGACAGTTCAGCGTATCTCTGTCCGGCCTCCAGAAATTTTTGTTTATAATCCAGTAGATGGGCATAAGCGGTCTACAATGAAATTTAGATGATAATTAATTCAAGTAAACAAGTTTACCCTGGTAGATAGTAAATGATAGACGAAAACGTGCAGTGTGAACGAGTAGTATTGGTTTGGTTTGGTTTTCAATGCCGTTCTTCAACAGTCAAACCGGAAAACGAACCGAAAACATTCCTAATTAATTATTATTGAGAACAAAAAATAACAAATAGGCTACTCTAACTTGACCGATTGAATAAATACCCTTTATCTTCATCTATTTAGTAAAAAAATGTGAATCACCTAGGCTTGTCTGAAGAAAAAGTGGGTAACATCAGGTCAATACCACACCTAGCCTAGTGGGGCCTTATGCGGTTCGCTATTCGAAGCCCAAGGGCTTAGGTTGCGAGCTTCCATCACTGAATGGCAGGTCTTCACTGCGTTCACTGCGTCTGTTGTTCATCACACAAGTGTTTAATAAAAAATGTACTTTTGCCGGTTTCTAATGAATCTTAACACTGTAAAACATTGTGATATCCATTGTTATGTATTAGCCACTGGATAACCCGCCTAAAAGCCTCCTTTAGGCTGGGTGTTTTCCTTACAATGCGTGGTAATGGTATATTCGGACATATTAACCACAGCTATCAAATCGGCTAAAGTTCCATTTCCATTTTTCTGCACTCGTCACTCTCTTCAGCCCAAAATGACTAACCAAGGAACGCGCTATATTTACCTACTCAACGAAACATAACAAAACACGCCAGTTGGGTAACGTTTATCCCCGTGATACAAATTAACAAAAAATAATTCAAAGAGAGTTTATAAAATTGTCACACGAAGAAAATAAGCAGGCACACAGAAGCCATTGCTCAGGACAGTTATACTATGCAGTGCACCCATAAAAGATGTATTCTACGCATCCTGTTCATCCTGTTGATAGTTACAACAGATGGGACTCAATGTGGTTTGAATTAAAATGGATATTATTTTACCATCCTGATCCGAGTAGTACAAATGGATTCCAAAGTCGCAGAAAACTAAATCGATGTTTATGGGCGCGAAAATGCGCATGGACAAACCCGATTAGGGCTACTGATTCACGAGAGGTCTCATGTCTCGGACAGGTTTCAGGTTCAGGTTTACAAACAATGTTCGCTGCAGAATCCATTCCCAGTCTAATCTGTTTCATTTACATCACCACGTTCCATGGTCCTTATTTCATGCCCTAGCTCTGATTTATGAAGGGTACGAACGACCGGGACAGACACGCGATGACGAACTGACCGTGCCTTCCTAGTTTTGTCAGCGACCAGAGTTTTTCTTTATGAATCACCTTAGTGTGATGAACAGCAGATGGAGTAAACCCCATAGTCACGAGAACCTGATGTTCAATGATGGAAATCACGAACATAAGCCCGGGACTTGAAGTGGCACATCACATAAAGACCCGACAGATTAGGTGTGGTATTGAACCGGAAAACAGCAGGCTGCCTACCACCAAAGTTCGGTGATCTTGGCAAGACTTGAACCTCGGACTATAGGGTCCGAAACATGCTGGTGACAGCGACTAAACTACTGCACCACTGCCGTATTTGTTATTTGTTCTGTTTCTGTACGCTGTTAACCACGTCGTTCCTTTTGTTTTTCAGCC